TTAATACACTTGTTTGGATTTAAAATTGGGTAAATGTGAAACATGGTAGAATTATCTTTAATAGAGGTACAGGAATATTAAGGGGTAGGTGATAGTCCATTGTACATATCATTCTTAGTTAAAAGTTATTCAGATCTTGTCTACAACTCTCCAGTGATGGACACTCACTTTCTTATAAGGCAGTATGTTCTTGTGAGCTCTGGGCTTTTGAAAATTTGATGTGGATTACTTTTCTCCCTGAACTTACCTCGAGGCCAGACTTAGCAGTTCCTCACATCCCCAGACAGCAGATCCAAATCCATCAATCCTTAGAAAGTGAATAGATCTTACTTACCAGTGGTGACTGACAGAACACTAAAGAGAGGTTATATATTCTACAGAAAACTTTAATTAAAATCCTCTTTAGATGCGTTTGAGTCCCCAATTCCCTTTTGAGACCTAGAAATGTTATCTCACTGTTTTTCTCTTCCTTTGTCTCAAATCTAGCTGATGAAATTCCTTATATTTTCAGAGCAATTCAATTTAGATCTCAGCTGGTAACAGCTATCTCAAAACAAAAGCCCTTCAGCTGGAAGTAGCTGTCCTTGTAGAAAGCAGGCCAGTGGCCATCTATTGTTATTTCACAAGTACTTGCTGAAAACCACCAGTATGTAACCATTTCCCCCCTCAACACAGATGGTCTATTACAATATTTGCACAACCAAAACTGGTCCCTGTTTTTGAGATAGAGTGAGGAGGTGGTAACAAGAAAAGGGCATATGTTGATAGGAAAAAATATGATGAAACTATTAAAAAATATAATTCTCTCTACAATTCACTTGGTTTATAATAGGTAAATTAATGTCCTAAGCAGCTATTATATCTAAATAAGTACCTAACTTGCTCCTAAATGGAAATTAAGAATTCTTTTATTAATTGGCTTTATTGTTGTTTTATAATAGCTGTAATTCACATATTATAACATTCACCATTTAACAGTATATAGTTCAATGGCTTTTAGTATATTCATGATTACTACTATTATCTAATTTCAGAACATGTTTATTAATTCAAAATAAAACTTCTCATTCATAGGCAGTCATGTATATTTTTCCTTGCCCCAGATCTTGGAAATCACTAATCTACCATGACACTATGGATTTGCCTGTTCTGAACATTTCACATAAAGGGATGATACAACGTCTGATCTTGTGATTGGTTTATTTTACTTAGCACAGTGTTCTCCAGGTTCATCCATATTGCAGCATGTTATAGTACTTCATTTTTCCTATATCCAAATAATATTCCATTGTATTGTAGGAGATCAGAATATGCTTACTCCAAAACTGAAGGACTGAAGATTGAAGACTATTAAGAAGACTCAGATACAGAAAATCTCTCTACCTTTCCCATTTTAATTAAAAGCAGGATACAACTATGTAAAGATGCTCTTCCTACATTCTCTATGATGGATGTAGTATGAACCAGAGTTCTAATCTGCTTTGAATTGCCTTTTCTTGAGGCTTCTCCAGGGTAATGGTCCACATACGGATTAAAAACTTGTTTTTCTCTTATTAATTTGTCTTTTGATACAGGAGCCTTTCCCAACTATGAACACATAAGGAAATTATATTTCATCTCTAACCATGTGGGTATATGGCTTTTTATCTGTTAACTAGTAGATAGATATTTCATTTGCTTCCTCTTTTTGGCTACTATCAATAAATCTATCAACAGTCACTGAGTCGATAAATGTTTTTCAGGCAGAGTGGAACTGCTGTCACATGAGAACTCTATGCTTAGACTTTTAAGGAACAAATTATTTTCCAAGTGACTGTACCATTGTACATTTTCATGAGCAAGTATAAGTGTGCCACTTTTTACACATTCTCACCATTCTCTTATCTTTTTTATTTTTAGCCATCTTGTGAGTACAAAGCAGTACTCTGCTGTGGTTTTGATGTGTGTTTCCCTGACAAAAAACAATGCTGAGCATTTTTTCATGTGCTTATTTCCACTGGTATACTTAGAGGAAATGTCTGTTCAAACCACTTGAGCTTTTTAAAATTGAGGTGTCTCTTTATGGTGGAGTCGTGAGAGCTTTTTTAGCTAATAAGCCCTTACCAGAAACATGATTTGCAAACGTGTTCCCCTAGTCTGTAGGTTTTTCTAAATTGTAATTATGTTTAGGCAACACTTGATTATTCAAAGGTTAAAGTTTTGCCTCTCTCTTGGATTTGTTCCAATTTAGAAATGCTAATACATGCAGCAGACTCTAAAATGAGATATGGAGGAAGGAAAAACTACAGTGTAGCAGAGAGCAATGTGCTCAATTACCTTTGGCAAATGAATGAATAAAATGTATGTATTTTTCCCTGATTTACACCACTACTCTGACTTGTAGTCCCTGCTGAATGTTGACCAATGGTGTTCATTTTGTGACTTGAAGGTCTGCCAGGGAGATATGAAGTGCTGGAAAGGAACACCTTTTTCCATGTGCATGCTCTGAGCCTTCTGTCTAATCCACACTGAAGCACTAAGCATGGCCAGACGAGAGTCTGCACTTTTTTCATGGTAAGAAGCAATTTAATGTTCTGCTAATGCTCAATAACTTAAGGCAACAGTTGTTGTAGCAGTTCAAAGTTGATGCTGTAGGGTTTTTAATGATTCTGGGCATTTATACAGTGACTGTTTAGTTGGAGTTTCACTTAGAGGATTTCTTACTTAGTACTCCTGATCTGAGAATGCCGAGTGTGGTCTACTTTCTAATTGGCCAACCTCACAGTTTTAGGACCATGGATCTGCAGCTAGGAGGGAGGCCAGTCATATTTCCTGCACATCTGATTAGCTGACTCCACCATGGAGATTGCATTACCGAATCCACAGTCCTAGTCAATGTACCTCCCTTATAATACTTTATCAAGATCATTTCACAACAGAAGTTGGTATAACCCTATGTATACTTTGAAGGTTCAAACACAGGAAAAATCTGAATGATTCAAACTAGGAAGAATCAAAGGAATTCTAGTAGGGACTGCTATTAGTTGAAGCTGAGCAATGAAAGAAGAAACGTGTATAAAGGAAATGGACTAGGTAAAGAAGGAAGAACAAAGAGAAACGAGACACTCCCTTGTAACAGGATATAAACAGGAGTATACCTTTATACAGGCCAACCAGGCTGCCTGGTTCGTATTACTCAGCTCAGTTACCCACATAGTGGACACAGCCAAGGAAACTGCTAGACATATGGACATAGGCTCTTGCTTACTAGTGAAACATCCATGTGGCTATGGGTATGTAAATGATCCCATTAGAGAACAGGCAAAAGGAGATTTTTAAAAATTTATAGATTTACAGAGTGTCTTAGTTATTTCTGGCTGCTGTAGCCAAACACCCAAGAATGGGCAATTTATGAACAGCAGAAATCGATTGCTCACAGTTGTAGAGACTGAGAAGTCCAATTTAGATCAACTCATTGAAGATTCAGTATCTAATAAGGGCTGATTTCTCATAGATGGAGCCTGCTAACTGTGTGCTCATGGCAGAAGGAGTAAAGAAGCTCCTTTGACCTCTTTTATAAGGGCACTAATTCCATTCATGTGATTCCATTCTCATGGTATAATCACCACCTAACAGGCCCCACTCTTGAAATACTGCATTGGGGATTAAGTTTCCATATATCCGAATATGTTCGTGGTAGGGAAGCAGACAGTTGATAAGAAACATTTGTCTTAGTCTAGTTTGGAGAAGACAATTCCTAAAGCCATCTATAATATTGCTTAGTATTTATGGAATATTTTTATTCCCACATAAATGCAAGCACCTTTAGACTTACATGGCTGCTTATCATCATAATATTCCCAACAAGAAAAAAATCTGTTCACCAATTTGTTTAAATCTGAGAGGTAAAGTGACTCTGTTCTGGATGTAGGAAAAGAAAGTCACTGGTATTTAGACCACTGCACAAACTAGGAAGTGAATTGGATACTTTACATTAACTTTACATGAGTAAATTCTTTTAATTCTTATATAGATCTCACAAAGTGGGGCTTATTATAATTTCATAGATTAAAGAAAATTGTATAAACCATTGATCTGGCAATGGAAGAATTGAAACATTTGGAGTGATATTTATTCAGCTATGCCATGTTCTTATTCATTAGTTTTAATGACGGAGAGCAGGTGTCTAGAAGGAGGTATAGAAGGAATCTAAGCACATATTCAGTTATTCTGTCTGACTCTGGTGGGAATAGAGGTAGTGTCATCTAATATAGAACAGAAAGCATGGTAGAGTGAATGAAATGTAATAATGCAATAATCCTTACTTGTAAGGAACTAAAGGGAGCTTTCTGTGGCACAAAGCAACTAGTGACAGACTGCAAAATATCCATTTTCCATCTGCATTTTCATAATACTTTCCTTTTTCTTCCCTTTTTTTTGTCACAGGTATGATATTAACTATGCTAATTTCCTTATTCCTCCATCCTCCCTATAACTACCTACTTTTTAAATTTTATAAAAGGATTTCATTCCATAAAATGCCATCTCCCCAAAGGGAGTAACTTTCATTCAATGAAATGTGGATTGGAGCAGAAATCCATTTGTGGAGTGAATGGCAAACAAACCTGTGATTGGCAGATTCTTAGGTTTCAGATAAGGACCTCGCTGCTTTGATTACCACAGACAGATGAAAGGCTAAGTGTTATTCTTATAAAAAGGATGAAAACCAGATTTGTACCACAAACCATAGTTCCTGTTTCAGTTTTATGAATGAGTTTTCCCTTTACATCTGTGTTTAAATTTTCAAATTTTAGGTTTGGATTGACAGATTTACATATTTGATTTTGACACATTAAAAAAGAATCTTTTCATTTTATTTTTAAAATTATACCTATGCCTTTATTAAGTTTTCATGTGTATGAAAACATTAGTCTTCTGGTTGAGTCCTACAAGGCTTATCACTTGCAGAGTGATACTTGTGGGAAATTTTGGTTCTGAATCCTAATTAGTCCCAAACTTACCACACCATTTGACTTTCCAGTTACGATTAGCATCAACTCCACGGCAGTGAAACTTTGAATTCCTTGACCTTGTTTTTCTCCAAAACCGATCCTATACATAATTAAGGAAACAGGCAAGGAAAAAAGTACTTAAATGTTTATTCATGTGTATTTCAGTAGCTCAATCAGTGAAGGGATTGACTTGCTGAGGAGAGAGTTCTTCCATGAATCGAGAAGCCCAGGGAGTTGAAAGATGACTAGATTAGCAGTGGAAACTGAGGTTTATGTTCTGCCATGAACTTCCTGTCTCTTACCCTTTCTTACCCTCCTTTCTTCACAGGCAGAAGTAAATGGGTTGACCTAGACCTGTAGTTTTTTTAATGATTTATTTGGGATGTACAATTTTTATTTATACAAAATCTTATGCAAAGACAAAAATATGAAAGTGAAATTCAAAGATTAGTGCTCTAATTAAGGAGGAATGAAGTCCACTTTTGCATCTCTGAAATCGCTTAGTGGGCTGTGCATCACCACCCTCCTGATCTATGACTTACTCATTTAGCCCTCTTTTCAATTGGATAGGCAAAGCCACTTACATGTGTCCAGCTAAAATGGTATCCATCAACGTTAAACACAGGCATAATATAGAAATACATATGATTCAACAATTTTTTCATGGCTGGGTCTGTCCTGTATGTTAGAAGGGCCTGAAAGACAAAGGAGACTTTCTTAAAATGAATTGATACCAAATACAGGTGTAAGAAACAGAAAGAGAATCTTTTCTATTCATAAGAAATATACTGGGTTAAAAAAGAATAAGCTAGCATGCATTACACTATATGTCATAATACATTCTTTATTGAGAATTTCATTGGAATCAAACTGTATTATTAATAATATTTTAGCACAGCTGGTAACAGATGAAGTGTGTAGCATCTACAGTGTTCTGGATCTGGTTGAATGCTTAGGCTGATAATATAAATAACCATTTCAAATATATCTTTAAAAATAATCAATTTATTTTAGTTTCCATGTAATTGTAGGCAAAATAGTTACCTACATATATTTGATATCCTTATGTCATACACCATGTCATTTACCCACGTGATAATTTATGATTGGTACCAACTTTAAGTCTTAAAACTTACTACATGGAGATTCTATTTTTCCCTCCTCAATTTTTTATGAAAAGTTTAGTAGATTATAGATCTTTGCAATCCTTATTGTAACTCCTTTAAAGTCTTGTCCCAGTGATTGGATTTTATTAAATTATGTCTGACCTCAAGTCTGAAGATTGTGCACCATATATTTGTATGTAAATAGAAAAGTATAGTATGCACTAAATTGAGAGAACAGACATTTTGAAACATAATTTCTATGGAATGAACTTTTAAAAATGTTCTTTTTGTTCTGTTTTTATCTATGTGTACTATGTATACACTATACTATGTGTATAGCTTGGGGGAGGAGTACATAAGAAATTTATAACAATGGTTATCTTTGGGGAGGTAGAATAGGGGACAGTGTGTGGGAAGGAGTCTTATTTTTAAGTCATTTTGACTAAACTTTATCATATTAAAAGCATAATTCAAAGTAGTTTTCTTAAAGAATTCCACTAACTTACTGAAGTATGATTGATATACAAAAAACAGGACACATTTCGTGTATACAACTTGCCTAATTTAGAAATAAGTAATCCCTTATGAAAACATCACTATAATCTATGCCATAAACATATCTATCATTTTCAAAAGTTCTCCTCACCCTCTTCTATCTTTTGTGTGATAAGAACAGTTAAGACAGAATAGGCCCTTCGAGCAAAATTTTAAATATATAATACTATATTCTTAACTATAGGCATTGTATTGTACAACAGATCTCTAGGACTTACTCATTTTATACAATTAAAACTGTGTCCCCATTTTCTTCTCTCATTTTAATCCTTAAAATTTCAATCTTATTTTATATCTACTTAAATAGAATTTATAAACCTATAATAAGCAGCATTCTGTATTTACATGTTGAAAATTATATGCATAGAAATGAACCTAGTAATACAGTGTTGTAGAAACTATTACTATATTAAAAATGATATTGAAAACATTGGGATAGACTCAAGAATATGAGTTAAATACCAATTTTTACTATACATAATTTAGGTATCTATGAGATTAACCTAAATTGATAAACATTAAATTCTCTCTTGGTCTCTTTTTAAGGATCAGTAATAATTTGTTGGCCAATTAGATCAACAGAGCTTTCATATATATATGCCAAATTTCAACTAACAATATGATACCTCAAAGTAGAGGGAAGTAGCTAGTATTGATCAGTCATACAAATTCTGAAATTTGTTCTCTAGGACCAATTTGCAGAGCTTCTCCAATGCTTGCAGGAAATCTTTAATAGCGGACAGCAGGGGCAAAGCTATGTGGTGAGCTACACCTCCTACAGTTTGGCAGCTATGACTTTCCATGTCACTACAGAAAAGAAGAGATGGAGGGAAAGAATCTGGGAGAAAAGACAAGAAAGAAGTGATAGGAGGATAGCTCACTTGGCTCAGCCTAGACTGGGGAAATCCCATCTTTTCTGAGCACAAATGATGTTAGTACTTATGTGTGAATCACCATGCTTGAGATCTATGTGTAAATGTTCTCGTTTTATTCAGTTTTCTCCAACTCAGGCGATCTTCAACCTTTTCTTTACTCCTTTGTTGATAGACACTAATGTTGTTTCCGTGTCTTGACAATTGTACTGCAGGTGTAAATATGGGAATGCAGACATCTTTATGATTATGTTACATTAGTATACTGTTTTGAGTACTATTGACATTTTAACATTATGTTTGACCCATGATCATAGGCTTTTATTCGTGTCTTCTTCAGTTGATTTAATCAACATTTTATAGTTTTCAGAGTATAAATCTTTTACTTCTTTGGTTAAATTTATTCCTATTTTTGATGGCATTGTAAATGGAATTTAGCTTTCTTATAAGTTGTTACTTGTGTGTAGGATTTCTGATTTTTATGTTGATTTTTTAATCTTGTAAATTTAATAAAGTCTTTTATTTGTTGTGTGTTGTGAGATCTTTGAGATTTTCTATACATAGCATTATGTCATCTGAAAATATAGATAAGTTTATTTTTGTTTCTGATTTGAGTGTCCTTATTTATTTTTTTTTAGTTTGATTGCTCTTGCTAGTACTTAGAGCATCATTTTGAATAGAAGTCTGTCTAATACCAGATCTTAGTGGAAAATTTTTCCTCTGTTTTTTGTTGATTATGCCAGTTGTGGGTTTTTCATAAATGACCTTTATGGTGGTGAAAGATTTCCTTTTATGTCAAAACTTTTACCATTTTTTCAATCAAAAAAGAATACTGAACTTTCTTAAAAGCTCTTTCTGTGCCAATTAAGATGATTATGTTATGTTCATCTCTTAGTCTGTAAATATGATGTGTCACATTGGTTGATTTGTGTGTGTCAAACCAACCTTACACATCAGAAGTCTTTCTGATGTATTGCTGAGTTCAGTTTGCTAATTTTTAAAATGTTTTTTCATCAATGTTTATCAGAGATATTAGCTTTTAGTTTTCTTTCATGTATTTATGTATTTATTTAGGTCGTTTTCTATGGTGTCATTGGCTTAGTTGACTTTGTCAAATGTGTTAAAGAATAGTCCCTACAACATCATATTTTGAAGATTTTTAGAAGTTTTGGCAATAGTTCTTTGAATATTTGGTAGAATTTAACCAAGAAGTCATGCTAGGCTTTTCCTTGGAAGATTTTTAAGTTACTTTTTCAGTCTCTTTGCTATTCACCTGTCCAAGTTTTCTATTACATACTTCAAACTTGGAAGTTTATATTTTTCTAGGGTGTTACTTCCTTTAGGTGATTCACTTCTTAGGCATTTGTTGTAATGCCTCCACTTTTCTTTTCCATTCATTTGAACCTTTTTTTCTTAACTAGGGTGGGAGTTTGTTGATTTTACTTTTTCAGGTATCCCGTTTTTGCTTTCATTGATATGTTCTATCATTTATGCATTTTCAACTTGATTTATTTGGATTCTGATTTTTAATATTTTCTTTTATTTGCTAAGTCTAGAGTTTTTCTTCTTTTTTAAGCTCCTTGACATAAAATTTTAGAGTGTTTATTTGCTATCTTTCTTCTCTTTTAATACAAAAATTTATTACTATAAACTTTCCGCATTTACTACATCCCCTACATTTTTGTATGTTGTGATACTAATGTCATTTGTAAAAAGATATTTTAAAATTTCCATTTCGATTTCATGTTTGAAACACTGGTTATTCAGGATTAATTTCCTTTTAAAATTACAATATATTTTAAGCAAACAGACAAAATACTGGGACGAATATGGCACCTATGTACTCATCAACACATCTTGTCATTTTTATTAAAAAATACAAAAGATACTGAGTCAATATAGATAAAATAGAGGTCCCCACTTTTAAAAATCACTCCCTGATCCCATTTTCTTCTCTTCCCCTATCCTAAATTTGACATTAATATTTCCATGCAAAATTGCATGCTTTGCTATATATGTAAATTCATGGATAGCATATAACATTGTATGTATGCTTTAAACATTTATGCAAATGAGATCCTGATGTGTCAATTTTTAGTCTTTTTTTCAATATATTTTTGATATATTTATGTATATATTGATCTATGATATACTTGAGGGCTTATTCAGTATGACTAATAAACTGCATTCTAGAATAGGTAAATATACAATATATTGATTTGCTTATTTTGTGGATGAACAATTATTTTGCATTTGATATTTCACTGTTATGTTGTAAAGAACATTCTTGCATATTTACTTAAAACGTAAGTAAGACTCTGTTTATGACATATCTAGGAAAAGATTTGTTGGGTCATGGATTTACATGCCCTTAACTTTGTTAACAGTTGCCATTTTTAATCTAAAGCAGCAAACACTCCCATCTGTGATGAATGACAGGGAGCTAATATACTATCTCTGTCAAATAGTAAGTTTCCATATGTGAGTAAAATTGCTGTAATACACTTTGGTTTACATTCACTCACCAAATACACACCATGGTGTATGTAGAATCTGATGTATCTGGTGGGATATATCTGTATTGTTCTATCTGAAAATTATCTTGTCTAATCTTGATCTTTTTCTCTTCACATTAGTTTTGAAACCGAGGCCAATCACATTAAAGACATTCCAATTTGCACTTAGGTTTTTGTTTCATGTGGTTAATAGTTGTTGAATTTGAGCAAATGACTTTTCATGTGTGTACATAACCATTTGGTTGTTGTTCTTATATTTCTTTTCTTTTCTTTTTGAGCTATATCCCCAGCCCTGATACATTTCAATAAACAATTTTATATTGTTAAACCATCCTTGTATTTCTGGAATAAGCCTATTTGGTTACAATGTATCTTAAGATATTGGCTGGATTCAGATGGCTAATATTTAAATCTGCATTCATACATAAAATAGGCCTATGGCTTTCTTCTTTATTTTGTTGTCATCTGGTTTTGGTATCAGGGTTATAAAATTCTATTGTAATTCAAAATTCAGGAATCTATCTATCTATATATCTATTTATCTATCTATCTGTATTGTTTTGGGTTTTTTTGAGACAAGGTCTCACTAAGTTGCTAAGTTGTACAGGCTACACTTGAACATTGGGGTCCTCCTGTCTTTCTGGAA